CACGGGTGGAGGATGGGGGTCACTGGGCACAGGATGGGGGTCACAGATGGAGCATGGGGGTCACTGGGTGCAGGACGGGGGTCACTGGGTGCAGGATGGGCGTCACTGGGTGCAGGGTGGGGGGTCACAGATGGAGCATGGGGGTCACTGGGTGCGGGTTGGGGGTCACTGGGCACAGGATGGGGGTCACGACGTGCCCGGTCGCTGGCGGTGCGGGGTGCGGGTGTCGCAGCGCGGGCTCCCAGCGCCATCGCGTGGCTGGAGCCGCTCGGCACGGGAACGGGAGGCGGGATGGGAATGGGAATTGGGAATGGGAATTGGGAATTGGGAATGGGAATGGGAATAGGAATAGGAATAGGAATAGGAATAGGAATAGGAATAGGAATAGGAATAGGAATAGGAATAGGAATAGGAATAGGAATAGGAATAGGAATAGGAATAGGAATAGGAATAGGAATAGGAATAGGAATAGGAATAGGAATAGGATGCACCGCCAGGATGAGCTGCACTGCCGGGGACCCGGGGGTGGGCTGCACTCCCCGGGCATCTCCTGCCAGGGAGAGCTCCCAGCCGGGAACCCCCTGCTCTGTGCCCCCAGCCCCACCGTGGAGCTCACCCCACACCGTGTGCCCCTGGGCATGATCTGTGCCCCACACCGTGTGCCACAGGCTGTACCCCACACCGTGTGCCCCAGGCTGTGCCCCACACCGTGTGCCCCTGGGCATGATCTGTGCCCCACACCGTGTGCCACAGGCTGTACCCCACACCGTGTGCCCCAGGCTGTGCCCCACACCGTGTGCCCCTGGGCATGATCTGTGCCCCACACCGTGTGCCACAGGCTGTACCCCACACCGTGTGCCCCAGGCTGTGCCCCACACCGTGTGCCCCTGGGCATGATCTGTGCCCCACACCGTGTGCCACAGGCTGTACCCCACACCGTGTGCCCCAGGCTGTGCCCCACACCGTGTGCCCCTGGGCATGATCTGTGCCCCACACCATGTGCCCCAGGCTGTGCCCCACACCATGTGCCCCAGGGCTGTGCCTCACACTGTGTGTCCAGGGCATGGTCTGCACCCCACACCGTGTGCCCCAGGGCTGTGCCCCACACCGTGTGCCCCTGGCCATGGTCTGTGTCCCACACCGTGTGCCCAGGGCATGGTCTGTGCCCCCGGGCATGCTCTGTGCCCCACACCGTGTACCCCTGGGCATGGTCTGTGTCCCACACCGTGTGCCCCGGGCTGTGAACCCTCCTTTGCTCGCCCCCACCGCGGCTCCCGGGGTGCCACAGGCCAGCAGAGGTGTCCAGGGCCCCACAGCGATGCCAGCTGTGCCCCCAGCCCGGGTGGGCTCAGCTCAGAACACCCCGCTCACCAGGAAACACAAATCACCGCGTTTACTCCAACCCAGACTTTATTAACGAGGCAAAGAGCTGGGGCCAGGCCAGCGCAGCCCGGGGGAAACCTGAGCTGTGGCCCGGAGGGGATGGGGACCGACCTGCCCCGAGCAGCTGGGGCCACCCTCGAGGCTGGCAGGCAGCAGGACCTGTGTGCCCAGGATTTTCCTCCAGTTTGGGGACACAACGCCGGCTGGGTCCCGGGTCCTGCACCCGGCCAGACCCCAGAGACCCCAAAAGGCACCAACAGCTGGTGAGAACCGAACCCAAGGCAAGGCAGCGGTGTCTGCTGGGTGACAAGGTCTGGAGGCACCCCCAAAGGCACTACACAAACACGGAGATGATGAGAGGTTTCTAAAAACACCCTCAGGTCTCTCTCAGCCCTTAATTTTCTCTGCTTGGCACTTCATCCTTTACAAACTGAAACAAAAGAGCTGCAAGAAGGCACAACCCAGCACAGCAGCCCCTGCACGCAGAACTGAGGCTGAGGCAGAGCTGGGGCTGTCCCCAGCCTTGAGGGACAAAGCCACGATGGCAGCAGCACGTCCAGGGCCACCTCAGCTGAAGTCCCGGTCCGGCAGCACCAGCGGAGCCACCAAGGTCCAGAGGTAGAGCAGGAGCCCGGCCCAGCTGGAGCAGATCTTCACCCACACGGCCGTCCAGGGGCTCCTCAGCACCTGCAAGCTCTCATCCGGCCTGAAACAGCCAAAGGCGGCTGTTTGTGACACTGTGACACCCTGCCAGTGCCCCCCTGGGAACACGGGGGTGCCCCACGGCCGCATCCAGCCCGGGCTGTGACCCCTCTGCTGCAGCCGCAGCCTCGGTCCCTGCTCCCCCTCCTCCCAAAGCACCCCGAGCTGTGGCACAGGGCGCTGCAATCCCAGGCACAACCCCAAAAATAATTCCCGCTGGAAAAGGGGCACATCCAGCAGCCTCGGAGCCCGGAGCTGCGGCCAGCACCCCGGGATGAGGGCCAGCACCCCGGGAGGAGGGCCAGCCCCAGGGAGGAGGGGACCAGCACCCCGGAGGAGGGGGCCAGTACCCCGGGATGAGGGGCCAGCACCCCGGAGGAGGGGGCCAGCACCTCAGGGAGGAGGGGACCAGCACCCCGGAGGAGGGGGCCAGTACCCCGGGATGAGGGGCCAGCACCCCGGAGGAGGGGGCCAGCCCCAGGGAGGAGGGGACCAGCACCCCGGGAAGAGGGGCCAGCACCCCGGGATGAGGGGCCAGCCCCCCTCTCACCTGTACCAGTTGGTGAGGGTCATCATGATATAGAGGGCGGCGAGGAGGAGGCAGAGGTGGAAGAAGGTGTAGTTGTAGGAGACACCGTCCTGCTCGTTGTCGTAGGCTCGGTGCGCCCCTCCCTCCTCCGCCGCTCCCGGTCCGGCCCCGGCCCCGCTCTCCTCCGTCAGCATCAGCTTGTTCACCTGCGGGTGGTCCGAGGAGCGCAGGCTGCGGGCACAGGGGCAGGGGGATCAGCACCCACCCCGCGGCCGGGCTGTTGTCCTTGGGGCCGTCCCCGGGGCAGTTTGGGGGTCGCAGGCTGTGGGGGAACCCTAAAATCTCTGTCACCCTTGCCCAAAGCCCTTCCCCAGCTCTCTTAGAACCCCTCTGGGCGCTGGAAGGGTGACTGGAACCTCAAAAAGCTCAACAAAGAGAGTGACGGGCAAGGACTGAGGACTCCCATGTGGAGTGGGGGGCACTCAGCTGGAAAACAGCTCTGGGAAAGGTCCTGGGGTGCTGCTGGGCCCCGGGGGGAGCACGAGGCAGCAGCGTGGAGGGCTGCAGAGCGTGAGAGGTGTCCTGGGCTGTGTCAGGGTCTGGGGAGGACACCCAGTGATCCCAGCTGATAAAGCCACCCCGGGGCAGGGGTTTTGTCCTTGGGGACAGACAGAGCAATTTGGGGTCATGGGGAAGCCCTAAAAACGGTGACTGTGCTCAGGCCTGTGCTCCTGGGGACAAAGAGCCTTTGGTGACAAAACCTCTGGACCGAGGTGTGACCTCCCCTCCTGAGACCTCCAGGGGCCACGAGCCAGGTGCTCACCTGATGAAGAGGGTGCAGAGGATGAAGATCACCAGCCCCACGATGCTCGGCGCGTCCCACCAGGTTGTGGGAGGCTCGGTGGCGGTGGCTGAGCCAGTGCTGTTCCTCAGCAGCAGCGTGGGGTTACAGCGCCGGGCTGGGGGACACACGGGGGGTCAGACCCCAGGGCACAGAGGGACAAACACCCACTCCAGTGAGTGCTCCTGCCCCATCCGTCCCTCTCCCAAACCCAAGGCGGAGTCTGGCTCACTTGGCACGTTGGCCAGGGCAGACCAGGTGACGTAGATGGTGTAGAGGGTGATGAGGGACGCCTGCAGCAGCCCCGAGTGTGGCTGAGCCTCCTGCAAACACAACAGAGGGTGCTTGGGGTGCTCCTGTACCCTGGGGTGACACAGCCCCGATCCCTTGGGTGCTCCTGTACCCTGGGGTGACACAGCCCCGATCCCTTGGGTGCTCCTGTACCCTGGGGTGACACAGCCCCGATCCCTTGGGTGCTCCTGTACCCTGGGGTGACACAGCCCCGATCCCTTGGGTGCTCCTGTACCCTGGGGTGACACAGCCCCGATCCCTTGGGTGCTCCTGTACCCTGGGGTGACACAGCCCCGATCCCTTGGGTGCTCCTGTACCCTGGGGTGACACAGCCCCGATCCCTTGGGTGCTCCTGTACCCTGGGGTGACACAGCCCCGATCCCTTGGGTGCTCCTGTACCCTGGGGTGACACAGCCCCGATCCCTTGGGTGCTCCTGTACCCTGGGGTGACACAGCCCCGATCCCTTGGGTGCTCCTGTACCCTGGGGTGACACAGCCCCGATCCCTTGGGTGCTCCTGTACCCTGGGGTGACACAGCCCCGATCCCTTGGGTGCTCCTGTACCCCGGGTGACCCTCCTGGGTGCTCCCCACTGCCTCACCTGGATCTTGGGCAGGATGGACACCACCGAGACGAGGAGGCAGAGGATGAGGTTGATGCTGACGAAGGCCTTGCCCTCCGTGCAGCCCTCGGGCTTGGTGTAGTAGACGTAGAGCAGCGCAACGGCCGCGATGGAGGCGGCGTAGAAGATGAAGGTGACGGTGCACAGGGCTGGGAGAGGACACAAAAGGGGCTGGAGCGGAGCCCCCAGTCCCAGCCAGCTCGGCCTGAGCTGGCCCTGGGCTGAGCTGAGCCCCACAGCCGCGGGCGGTGCCCCCACACCCACCTGCGTACCAGCCCTTGGCATTGCCCTCGTCCACGTTGCGCAGCCAGCGCTGGCTCCAGGAGTGCGCCAGGTCGATGAGGAGCACCAGCTGGATGAGGATGAAGAGGAAGGAGCCGACCACACCGAAGTAGAACCAGACTTGAGAGGAGGAGAAAAGCCAGGTGAAAACAGGGCAAGGGAGACTGGGGTGCACAGCCCTGGGCTTGATCCCGTGGGCAGCTCCTCACCTGAGGTGAAGGCACCGTCGGGGATGTAGAAGGCGCCCACCGTGATCCCCACCAGCACCAGGAACTTGAAGAACCAGAAGCTGTGGGAGGAGAGAGGAGGCAGGGCGTGCAGCCAGCAGGGACAGGGATGGGGGTCCTGCCCGTCCCCAGCGCCCCAGGGAGCAAGGGGACCCCACGCACCCGTTCTGCAGGGCGGCCCGCGGGTCCTTGCTGCTGCGCACGCACACCGTGAGCACGGCGAAGAGGAAGAAGAAGGCGGCCATGGCGAAGCCCATGCGGTACACGGCCTTGTGCCCCAGGAAACTGCTGCAGTCCACGTTGGTCTGGACCCCCAGCACCGACCCACTGCCCTCACAGAAACCGGGCAGCTGAAATAGTGACGGGAGCGTGAGCATCGCCTCAGCACATCCTGCTGGGGACTGACGGTCGTGGGGAGGCCTGGATCCAAGATCTACTGGTTGGACTGAAGATCAGCTTTGTGAAGCCCTCAGGTTGCCAGAGCATCTGTGGCTGCCCCTGGACTTTTGGAAGTGTCCCAGGCCAGGTTGGACGGGCCTTGGAGCAGCCTGGGACAATTGGGAGGTGGGGATTGATGGTTGTGGGGAGGTCTGGATCCAAGATCTACTGGTTGGATCAGCTTTGAAGTTGAAGATCAGCTTCTCCATTGTGAAGCCGTCGGGTTGCCCAGAGCAGCTGTGACTGCCCCTGGACCTCTGGAAGTGTCCCAGGCCAGGCTGGACGGGGCTTGGAGCAGCCTGGGACAGTGGGAGGTGTTCCTGCCATGCCAGGGGTGGGAGGAGATGGGCTTTGAGATTCCCTTCAGCCCAAAGCATTCTGTGATTCCACACCCACCACGAGCGCCGGTGCCACCAAGGATGGGCCAGACCATGACTGCTGCAATGCTGAGGTGACACAGATAAAGCCACTCAGCCTGGTGGCTTTATCTGTGGTCAGTGGAAGCAGCTTTTCCCTAAAGCCCAGCTCAGCTGGCAGAGCTCTGCTCCCTCCACCCAAAGTCTCACCTCCCGGACTTGCAAATCATCAGCTGAACCCCAAAAATGGGATGTAGGAAACTTCCCTGGGAGACATCTGGGAAAACTAAAAATTGCGTGAAATGATCCCACTGCGTTTTCCCCGCCGAGGAAAACCAGGCCTAATAATGCCTTGTCCCAGTGAGGTGCTCAGAAAGAAGAACAGAAGCACATCATGACCCAAAAATTCACTTTTTTGATTCAGCCTCAAGTCCCCACCATGATCTGGGTTGTTTCTTCCCAGGGACCTGCAGGAGCTCTTTACCTTGTGCAGCTCCTTCTCCACGCCCGGGATTATCATGATGATGGACACGAGGGTGCCTAAGAAGAGGAAGAAGGTGAAGAGGAGGCGGGAGATGGTGGAGTTCTTGGCCGAGGGGCAGCAGCCGCAGAGCAGGCACGGGGCAGAGCCGCAGAGGCACGACACCTGCAAGGAGACCAGCCTGGGATGAGGGGGAGAAACTGGCCCCAAAATACGTGACCAGTTCGATCCTTAAGGAGATCAGCCTGGGAATCCACGCTGCTGCCCAGAGCTACTCACACAACCCCACAGCCCGCAGGACCTCATGGAAACGGCACTAAATTCACCAAAAGTGCTGCTGAAAACCAAAAGAGCTGCAGGGACAGCGTGGAAAATGGCACCCAGAGTCTGGAGGCACCCTCATGTTTGTTGCTCCATGCAAGGATCAAAAAGCAAGCCCTGCCCTGCAGGAGCCTCCTTTTCGTACAAAAACGAGGTTTCCAAACTGCCCTTCCAGTCAAAGCCAGCATGGGAAGATTTTGGTATCAGCACCACGGGGGAAGCAGCTCATCCTGCCCTCCTTCCCCCCTGCAAAGGCCACTTTACAGCTGGGGAAACTGAGGCACGGCATCCCCGAGAGTCCCCAGTGGGTCCTGGCTTCCCAAATCCAGCACAGGCGGAGCTGCCAGGGGTGCCCCATCCCAGAGGCTCTGCTGTGCCGGAGCAGGGAAATCCTGGCTGAGGAAACCCAAAGTCACTGATACCAAAACTCTCCTTCCAAAGAAGGTTAAAGTTGCCCCAAAATGTGAACAGACGAAGGAAGAAAGAGCAGGATGGAAAAAGGCGGCGAGGGAAGTGGCTGCAGCAGCAGGAGAGCCGGGGGTTAATGAGGAAGTGTCGGTTTTCAGCTGCTGGTGGATGATTAAACTCTCCAGTTTCACTGTGCACTTCCTCCTGCAGTCCGGCTCACCTCAGGGAGGCTCAGGCAGGGCTGCTCCCGGAGCTGGGCAAGGCAGGGGAACGCCACGGGCCCCAAATACACCCGAACAGCGACTGTGCCCCAAAAACAGCACCCCAAATACACCCGTACAGCGACTGTGCCCCAAATACACCCGTACAGCAACTGTGCCCCAAATACATCACCCCAAATACGCCCATACAGCGACTGTGCCCCAAATACACCCGTACAGCAACTGTGCCCCAAATACATCACCCCAAATACGCCCATACAGCGACTGTGCCCCAAATACACCCGTTCAGCAACTATGCCCCAAAAACAGCACCCCAAATACACCCGTACAGCAACTGTGCCCCAAATACATCACCCCAAATACACCCATACAGCGACTGTGCCCCAAATACACCCGTACAGCAACTGTGCCCCACAAACAGCACCCCAAATAAACCCGTACAGCAACTGTGCCCCAAATACACCCGTTCAGCAACTATGCCCCAAAAACAGCACCCCAAATACACCCGTACAGCAACTGTGCCCCAAATACATCACCCCAAATACACCCATACAGCGACTGTGCCCCAAATACACCCGTACAGCAACTGTGCCCCAAATACACCCGTTCAGCAACTGTGCCCCAAAAACAGCACCCCAAATACACCCGTACAGCAACAGCACCCCAAAAACAGCACCCCAAATACACCCGTTCAGCAACAGCACCCCAAAAACAGCACCCTGAATACACCCATACAGCAACAATACCCCAAAAACAGCGCCCCAAATACACCCGTACAGCGACTGTGCCCCAAAAACAGCACCCCAAATCCACCCGTACAGCAACAGCAACCCAAAAACAGCACCCCAAATGCACCCATACAGCAACTGTGCCCCAAATCCACCCGTACAGCAACAGCACCCCAAAAACAGCACCCCAAATACACCCGTACAGCAACTGCACCCCAAAAACAGCGACCCAAATTCACCTGTACAGCAACTGCACCCCAAATACACCCATACAGCAACAGCACCCCAAAAACAGCGCCCCAAAGACACCCATACAGTGACAGGACCCCAAATACACCCATACAGCAACTGTGCCCCAAAAACAGCACCCCAAATACACCCGTACAGTGACAACACCCTGAATACACCCATACAGCAACTGTGCCCCAAATACACCCATACAGTGACAGGATCCCAAATACACCCATACAGCAACTGTGCCCCAAATACACCTGTATAGCACCTGTGCCCCAAATACACCCGTAAAGTGACAGCACCCCAAAAACAGCACCCCAAATACACCCATACAGCAACTGTGCCCCAAATACACCCGTACAGCAACAGCGCCCCAAATACACCTATACAGCAACAGCACCCCAAAAATAGCACCCCAAATACACCCGTACAGCAACAGTGCCCCAAATACACCTATACAGCAACTGTGCCCCAAAAACAGCACCCTGAATACACCCATACAGCAACTGCACCCCAAAACCAGCACCCCAAATACACCCGTACAGCAACTGTGCCCCAAAAACACCCATACAGTGACAGCACCCCAAAAACAGCACCCTGAATACACCCACACAGCAACAACACTCCAAAAACCAGCCAAACTACACCAGTCCAACATCAGCCCAAAAATACCATCCAGCAACAGCATCACCCCAAACCCAGCAACCCCCACCACCAACCCAACAACATCACCCCAACACCAATCCAAAATCACCCACCTGACACTGCACTAATAACACCCACCTACACCACCAGCACAATTACATCATCCCAACTCCACCACCCCAACACCAGCCCAACTACACCAACCAAACTACACCATCCCAACACCATCCCAACAACAGCCCAACTACACCAACACCAGTCCAACACCACCAGCCCAACACCACCATCCCAACACCAATCCAACACCATCCAAACAACATCAATCCAACACCAATCCAAAAACACCCTCACAACACCACCCCAACAACAGCCCAACTACACCAACCCAACACCAATCCACAACACTACTCCAACAGCCCAACTACACCAACTACATGACTGACCAAACTACACCAGCCCAAAAACATCACCCCAACAACACCAAGTCAAACCACCACCCCAACTCCACCACCCCAATTACACCTTCCCAACTCCACCACAACACCACCCCACCACCCCAACATCACCCCAAGAACACCAATCCACCACAACAGCCCAACTACACCAACACCCACCCAACTGCACCACCCCAATACCAACTCAAAAATACTCACCCAATATCACCCCAAACCAAGCTACACCACCAACCCAACTACACCAGCCCAGCAACAGCCCAACTACACCCAGCCAATGTCAGCCCAATTTTATCACCCCACACCATCACCGCAACACCAACTCAAAATACCCACCCAACAACACCAACCCAACATCACCACCCCAATTACATCATCCCAACAACAACAGCCCAACTACTCCACTCAACAACAGCCCGACTGCACCAACCAAACTACACCAGCCCAACAACTCCAACCCGAAAACGTCACCCCAACCTTCTGCTGGTAATCCCAACTCTGTCACCCAGGAGGGCGGCTCGGAATGACCACACTGCTCACGGCAGAGTCTGGAAAACCACAGGAGGCAGCGAAAGAGAAATTCTCCGCCTGTGGTTTCACCCAGGAGCCGCCTGTAGGGTTTCAATGGGGAACAGCTGAAGAAAGGGCTCAGCAATCTTGTGGTGCTGTGACTCAAGGGGTGCAGGCAGAGCAGAAGGAGTTAGGATGTTCTTGTTAAAAATAGTAATAATTTTCAAAAATACAGATTTACAGATTAGGGGGAATGTTTCATTCAGTTTGGGGTTTTTGCAGTGTTGTTGTTCTTCAGCTCGGACCTGTATAAAAACAGCCCCTTCATCAACGACTTCCACAGGAACAGGAAAATTAAACCCATACAGTGACTCTGCTCTGTTACCACAGTCTGAGCCACAACAGGTTTTTGGGGAAAAAAAATTCCAGAATTCATAGGGAAACCTCCACAGCCCTGCTCCGGAGTAAATCCCTGCTCTCCCAAAATCTGCCCATAAGGAAAAGCACAGGAATGTGTTACAGAGGCCTTGCAGACCACCCTCCCTCCAGTCCCTCATTTCTAAACATCCTGTTAATTAAACCTCCAGCACTCAGAGGTCAAGTTGCAAAACAGGTCCCATTTCCAGGTTTCCAGGCCGGCAGCTCCCAGGCTGGTTCCACAGCCCTGCCCTGGCCCCGTGCCCACAGGTGAGGCACTGCCGGGGCAGGAAGTGCTGGTGTGGGCAGGTGTCTGCGTCACCCGAACCATGCACCCCACGTCATAGAGCACAGCACCCCAAATCACATACCCTGTGCCTGCCCTGGGCTGTGGAACCCCAAATCACACACCCTGTGCCTGCCCTGGGCTGTGGAACCCCAAATCACACACCCTGTGCCTACCCTGGGCTGTGATACCCCAAATCACACACCCTGTGCCTGCCCTGGGCTGTGATACCCCAAATCACACACCCTGTGCCTGCCCTGGGCTGTGATACCCCAAATCACACACCCTGTGCCTGCCCTGGGCTGTGATACCCCAAATCACACACCCTGTGCCTGCCCTGGGCCGTGGCACCCCACACGCAGCCCCTGCACCCCCTGTCCCAGCTCCTTCTCTCACTCCATCCCCACTTTGGGGCTCAGCAGAGGGAACCAGGCAGGACCCCCCACTCCTCCAGCTGCAGCAGGACATCGCTGCTCTGGCTTCCCACCTCCCCCAAGTGCCCTGGGGTGTCCCACCCAGCCCATTCCCCTCCCCCGTGAGCCCCCGAGCGCTCTGGAGTGAGCGCTCCGTGTCTCCCATGGATACCCCGGCTGCAGTGGGATGCTCCGGGAATCCCCTACATCTCTCCAGCCCCTGAGGGATGCACCCCCTGAATCCCCCAAACACAGGGGTGCAACCCCTGGCTGTGCCCCACATGTCCCCAGGGGCGCATCCTCCCGGGGTCCCCCGCATCCCCCCCATATCCGGGGGTGTATCCTGCCGGGGGTCCCCCTGCGATCCCAGGGGTGCATTCCGCATCACCCTGCTGCCCTCCCTCGGACCCCTCCGCGTCTCGGTGTAGCTGGGCACATCCCCGGGGTGTCCCTCAGCCGGGCACATCCCCGGGGCGTCCCTCAGCTGTCCCCGGGCCTCCCCGGACCCTCCTCGGGTGGCGCAGTAGCCGCGACTCGCCCGCCTTGGGCCGCGCCCGCCGCTGCGGCACCGCAAGCGCTCCGGTGCCCCGCGCTCCCCCCGCTCCGGGCGGGCACTCACACAGCTGAGCAGGGAGCAGACCCCGAGACAGGCCCCCATCGTGCTGCCACCGCTCCCGGCTCCCTCGCAATCCCAGCTCCCGGCTCCCGGCTCCCGGCTCCCGGTCCCCGCCGCCGCCGCCCTGGCTCCGCCCGGAGCGGGGAGCTCGGGGCGGCCGCTCCCGCCGCGCCTCCCCCGGGGCGGCCCCTACGGCGGCGGAGGGGAGAGCGAGAGAGGGTCCGGGCCCCTGCCGACCGCAGGGAGCCCCTCCATGGCTCCTCCATCCTCACTCCGCCCCCCTCTCCATCCCTCTCCATAGCCCTCCCTCTCCCTTCCATCCTCCTCCATCTCCCCTCCGTGCCCGGTTACTGCCGGGGGGACCCCACCCACACGTGGGGACGGGTCTGGGTGGGGGCTCTGGGACATCGCCAGGACAGGGAGGGGATGGCCAGGAACCCTGCTAGAAGCAACCGGTGGGAAGGGGCTAAGGAATTCCAGAAGGGTTTGGGTTGGAAGGGACTTAAATCCCACCCAGGGATTTAAATCTCCCCTTTTCCAATGTCAAGCCATTCCCTGTGTCCTGTCCCTCCAGGCCTTGTCCCCAGTCCCTCTCCAGCTCTCCTGGAGCCCCTTCAGGCCATACTGGGAGGCTGACTGGAGCCTCAGGAAGTTCAACAAGGTGAAAGGACAAAGTTCAGTTCTTCGGAAGAACAACCCCAGACTCCCATGTGGAATGGAGACCACTCAGCTGGAAAACAGGGAAAGGCCCTGGGGTGCTGCTGGGCACCGGGGGGAACACGAGGCAGGCAGAAGGTGAGAGGTGTCCTGGGCTACACCAGGTCAAGGGAGGGGATCCAGGGTGGTGTGTCCAGTTCTGGGCTCTCCAGAACAAGAGAGGTGTGGGCATGCTGGAGAGTCTCCAATGAAGGGCCACAAAGGTAATGAAGGGTCTGGAGTATCCCACGTGTGAGGAAAGGCTGAGAGGCTGGGGCTGATGGGCCTGGAGAGGGGTTTGGGGGGTCTCACTCATACAGAAACACCCACTGCTCCACCAAGCCACTGCTGTCACTGGAGAAGTTGATCAGGCTGGCTGAGCTTGGCTTCCCCCAACCTGTCACCCTTAATGTGCCTGGAAATGCTCCCCAGGATCAGCTCCTCCATCTCCTTCCCAGGGATTGAGGCTGATGTGTCCACGGTTCCTGAAGCCCGCCCTGCCCTTCTGGAAGGCAAGAAGTGACATTCCAGACTCTTCCAGACTCTTCTCTCCATCCCCACGGTCAGTGAAAGGCTGTTGAGAGGGTTCTCCTCCTGCAGGAACCCTTCTTGCTGGGTTTGACATCCAGCTCCAGCACTCCCAGTGCTCCCAGCAGCCCCACCAGGCTGAACCCCCTCCTCTGCGGGGCCAGACCCCGGGTCAGGGGCTGAGGGTGGCACAGAGCAGGTTTTTCCTGCTCTTCCTGCCCAGCCACAGCCTGGCACGCCCTCCCAGGGCACTGAGGGCTCTGCCGGGTATGATTCAGGGCCTGGGATAAACCGGGAGGTGCCAGCCCACTTCCAGACCCTAAATTTAGACAGAGGAGGAAGCACGTGAGAATGTGACAGCAGCAGCCTTGGGGGCACAGGGCTGGGGCCAGATGTCCCCCGTGTCCTTGAGGAAGAGGAGGGTGTCACACTTTTTGCTCCAGAGGGAAATCTCCGGGGCTTGACCCCTGACCAGCAGTTGGCACAAATTAATAAAGGATTGTCTGAGCCTCTGTGGGCTCCCAAAATCTGCTGGCAGGGCTCAGCCCTGCAACGGGAGAGGTGAGAGCCCGAAAAGTGATCCCAGCTGGTCTCAGGTTTCTCCTTTCCGGAGGCGCTGGGGCGTGTGCGGGGACCTCCTGCCCCGGCACGGGTCTGGCAGCGCCCCGCGGCCCCGGGACACGATGGGCTGGCTCTGCCACAGCCCCCGGCAGGGCTCCGTGGGCTCTGCCAGCTCCCGTCTCCTCCTGTCTAGCCGGCAGAGACCTGTGACAGAATGCCCTTCAGTCGCTGTCCCCTCGGGCAGGACAGATCGGCCGGGCAGGTGTTTGTCCCCCCCCGCTGTCCTTGCGGGCACATGAGGAGCAGGAATCCTTCCGTGCGCCCTGCAGGGACCGGTCCCCCCCGCCGCTGTCCCCTCCTGGTCCCTCTGATGGTGCCACCAGGTGGCAGTGCCGCAGTGAGGACACCGGGGTCGGTCACCGCGCTCCGGCCCTACTGCCACCAGGGCCAGCATCATTCCCCCGGTGCCCCCGTGTCCTTGTCCCCGTCCCGGGAAGGGCTGTGGGCAGCGAGGGCTGTCCCGGGCGGGCGGGACCCAGCGCTGTGACAGCCCTGCGACAGCAGTGTCACAGGTGACAGAGCCGTGACGGGCCCCGGACAGAGCAGCTGTCACAGGGGGATGAGGAATGGGAGATGTGGGGTGTCAGCAGGGCTCAGGGGCTGCCTCCAGCCATGCCAGCCCCTGTCCCTCTGCTGGGAGCATCCCTGCATCCCAAGAAAACGCTTCTTTTTCCCCCTCTGCATCTTCTCCTGCATCCCTCAGCATCCCCCAGGCATCTTTCTCCTGGTGTGATTCATGAGGGCATGGGGCTCTCAGAACCCCAAATACAGCTCATTAGGGCTCAGGGTTCCCAAAACCCCAAATACAGCTCATTAGGGCTCTCAGAACCCCAAATACAGCTCATTAGGGCTCAGGGCCCCATTTCTGGGGGGATTGTAGGGCTGGGAGGATTGTGGGGTTGGGGTATTGTGGGGTTGGGGGCATTGTGGGGCTGAGGGGACTGCGGGGCTGGGTGCATTGTGGGGCTGGGGGGATTGTGGGGTTGGGGGGTTGTGGGGGTGGGGGGGTCGGAGG